TGTTGAAGATGGGGACTGGGCAGTTAATGCAAAAATTTTTACTCTGGTTTTATTGTGATTTTAGAGGAAAAAGCAGCTTCCTTCCTCCTGTGCTTAGACAAAACAGGTTTTAAGAATAATGGCCTCATTGCTCAATGTCAAAATCTGCCCCAAAAAATAATGAATAAGAGAAAAACAATGCCTAGTAAAAGTATTTATACCCGTAATTTTTTTTTTATTACACTCAAAAACTGTTAATTTTGTTTTGTTTTGTTTTTTACGATAATTTCATGTGTGACAAAGTGTAGAAAAAAAGGGGGGTTTTGTAACAAATAAAAATTTCTGAAGTGCATCAATCAACTCCCTTTTTTCCAAAACCCTTAAATAAAAGAAACAAATTGCCCTCAGAAGTCACCCAAGTAGCATGTGTTCACCTTATGCTGTTTATTCCCAGTTCAAAGATTAGAAAGTATGGTCCATCACCACAATCCACAGCTCCAAAACCAAGACATGGTCAGCCAGAACCTTCAACCCAACAGAAACCAGAACTCCCCAGATCTCGCATCTTGTTTTATTGCAGCTAAAAAGCTGACTGAACTGAAATTAGCCTTAAAACTGACTGAAATTAGCCTTAAAATCGCTGAAGAGCAATCAAATAATGATCTCTTTGTTAAAGATGAGTCTGGAGCGAAGGCTAGTTCCTTATAAATTTCATATGCTTGACCCCATCACTGTGTTTAGCATTATTCATCCAAGAGGTCCAAGGCAACCAAGGTGGAGGGATGTGTTGACAGTGTAGCCATTAGTTGTTTGGTCCACAATTCTGGTCTTAATGGAGGAATTGCAAGCAGAAACAGCAGTGAACGTTTTGGCCAACAAACAAAAGTAACAACACATATTCCTAAACACAACATTCCAAAGATGACATGCAATAGTGGCAGCATCATGATGTGTGGAGGATTTTCTGCAGCAATGACAGGACAGAACAGCTAACTTGCTCATGGGGAGGCGGATGCAGCTGAAAACCGAGTCTTAAATGTACAATAGCTAAAATAGGATGGTCTAATCAAAGACCAGACCTATGTTTTATTGAAAATTCATGGCAAGATCTAAAAATTTATCTTTATAGGCATTTACCATAACTGTGCTTGATCTATTTTTGATCTATTTTTGCTAAGAAAAATGCTAAAAGGTTCAGTCTGTAAAGCTGATGCAACTAAGGGACTAATAAACAAAAAAGGCTCTGTACAGCATTAAATAATTTTTCCTCCATTAAACTACTACACAATACTTTATATAGGTCTATGACAATAAAATCCTAAGAAAATAAGTAGCTGTATGTTTACATATGCATACATTTCCAAGTCACAATTCAATAAAAATTCACACCACTGAAAAACTAAAAAGCAACATTAACTGGCTACATAGCCACAAAAAATTAAAAGTATCCATATGTACTAAACACACTTACCTCTGTGATTCTCTGCAATCACCAGCTTTTAAAAAATAGCCTCACAATAAAGTTAAGAAAATACAAAAACATTTAACATAAAGCAACATGAGGGTGGAAATCCTCGCTGAGTGTTTAGTTTTCTGTTTGTGCAAATTCAAGCTGGCAGCACTTTGTAAACAGATGGCTGTCAGGCCAGGAGGATTAGATGGGCCTGAAGGTTACACTTTCACTGATCTAATCTTGCTCGCACCTCACACACGTCATATTGACACACTTTATAGATTATCAGTTACTGATTATTGTGTTTCCAGCTCCAGAAAGCATTAAGAGTTCGTCTACAATAAGAGGTGACCCCAGACATTCACAGTCCTCTGTCAGGTGAGGAGGATTTCTCATACACAGGGGTGCAGGTCACTCGTGCCGCTCTGGTCAGTTGTCTAATCCAATTATCTGCAAGCAGCTACAAGTAATGGGATTGTTAGTAAGGTCACTGTTCTGACCCGATTAGCCTCGACATTCAGCGCTGAACATTGAAAAACACTGACAAACAAATGTTAAAAGACAACTTATGCTCATCTTGGTGGTATTTATAGGAATCAAATACGGCAATGCTTGGTGTTTAAATGTGGAAAATCAATGTTGTGGGGCAGAAACAGAACAAACAAGGAGTTTATAGGGACAGACAGTCAGTCTGCTTAGCCATCTGTTGGAATCAAAGGTTTTCAGGGGAAAAGGCAAGAACAGTTATGGGGAAAAATTAGCAGGAAAATCAACAAGTTCTGATGGAAAACTTTAGGAAAAATCCAAAATAGTTGTATGTTAAATAGACAGGTGATCACTAATCACAGATAGAACAAAACAAAACACATATATATATACATACACACACTATAATGGAGGGTTGGATGAGAGAAGATTCAAGATTCAACTTTCAGAAAATTAAAGCAACAAATTCTTCTTTATTGGTTCTTTCTTGCGTATACACATCTTCTCAAATTTAGCATTTCCTGACATTTTTTTTCACCCTATTGCAAAATGCAACCAGGTAAAAACAAAAAGGCTTAGCTGTCGAGGAGGGAACTTGTTCACCTGGGTCAGACTTTTCCAGAAGAACTGCAGCAGACAGAAAGCTTTACTTTCAAAGTCTACTTTATCAAAAGAATACACAGTAATATGCAAGTATAAAACATAGAAAACATCATGAGCTTATAAACACCAACAAAATATAATTTCTTATGCACTGGTTCTTGAACGTTGCTTGTAAGGAATTGCAGTCCAGTTCTTTTGTTTCTTCTTGCATTTATTTTCCACACCATAATCAGTCCTCTTATGTCCACAAACGTCTATTATTTGCATCACAGAGTTACAAAGAGTCACAGTCTTGGCAAAAATACCAAGTCAACACAACACTTGACATCTTATTTGACATCGTAAGATGAAAAAGGTCCATTTAGTACTGAAAGTGTCTCTTTGCATGTCTTCATTAAGGCCAGTCCAACATGTTCATCTCTCTAATGGATGCTTTCTTCACCTGATATGAAGGTTATGGAGCAAGACAGAAAACTGCCCACTTAAACAGCAACAATGTCACGATGGCTGCAAGCAGCAGGTCTCATTAACCCGCTCACAGGATAATTTGTCAGGTCACCGACACAAAGGGGAGTGTGCCCTGTCCTTTTGAGAATTATTGTTAGCATTTTGCTGATGTTGCTGCAGGTTCAGGTATTTAGAACTAGATTTATGTGAGCTATCCTTTTTATCCTAAAGTTTATTACAAAAAAACCCTAAAAAAAAAACGAAATATCTGGAGTCCTCTCTGTGCAGTGCCTTGCAAAAATATTCAATATTCTTGTTCACATTTTGTCACTTCAGAACTACAAACTTCAATTTGTAGCAAATCTTACTGGGATTTGCTACATAAACACAAAGTGGAACATAATTATGAAGTGGAAGGAAAACGACATGAACTTTTCTATTTTTGGCTATAAATTAAAAACTGAAAAGTGTAATCAGCCCTCCTTTCCCTGAACCATCAGAAATCTTCAAAGTAAATGGAGTACATACAGTTAGGGCCAGAAATATTTGGACAGTGACACAGGTTTTGTTATTTTAGCTGTTGACAAAAATATGTTCAGAAATACAATTTATATATAGTATGGCTGAAAGTGCACACTCCCAGCTGCAATATGAGAGTTTCCACATCCAAATCGGAGAAAGGGTTTAGGAATCATAGCTCTGTAATGCAGAGCCTCCTCTTTTTCAAGGGACCAAAAGTAATTGGACAATGGACTCTAAAGGCTGCAAGTAACTCAGAAGGCCTTTCCCTCGTTAACCTGTAATCAAGTAGAGTTAAAAAGGTCTGGGGGTTGTTTCCAGGTGTGTGGTTTTGCATTTGGAAGCTGTTGCTGTGACCAGACAACATGCGGTCAAAGAAACTCTCAATTGACGTGAAGCAGAACATCCTGAGGCTTAAAAAAAAGAAAAAATCCATCAGAGAGATAGCAGACATGCTTGGAGTAGCAAAATTCAACAGTCTGGTACATTCTGAGGAAAAGGAATTGACTGGTGAGCTTGGGAACTCAAAAAGGCCTGGGCGTCCACGGAAGACAACGGTGGTGGATGATCGCCGCATACTTTCTTTGGTGAAGAAGGACCAGTTCACAACATCAACTGAGGTCCAGAAACACTCTCAGGGAAGTAGGGATCTGTCTCTAAGTCAACAGTAAAGAGAAGACTCCATGAAAGCAAATACAAAGGGTTCACATGTAGATGCAAACCATTCATCAATTCCAAAAGTAGACAGACCAGAGTTAAATTTGCCAAAAACACCTCAAGAAGCCAGCCCAGTTCTGGAAAAGTATTCTATGGACAGATGAGACAAAGATCAACCTGTACCAGAATGATGGGAAGAAAAAAGTTTGGAGAAGAAAGGGAACGGCACATGATCCAAGGCACACCACATCCTCTGTAAAACATGGTGGAGCAAACGTGATGGCATGGGCATGCATGGCTTTTCAATGGCACTGGGTCACTGTGTTTATTGATGACATAACAGCAGACAAGAGTAGCCGGATGAATTCTGAAGTGTACCGGATATACTGTCAGCCCAGATTCAGCCAAATGCTGCAAAGTTGATCGGACGGCGCTTCACAGTACAGATGGATAATGACCCCAAGCATACAGCCAAAGCTACCCAGGAGTTCATGAGAGCAAAAAGGTGAATATTCTGCAATGGCCAAGTCATCACCAGATCTTAACCCAATTGAGCAGCATTTCACTTGCTCAAATCCAGACTTCAGACGGAAAGACCACTAACAAGCAAGACTGAAGGCTGCGGCTGTAAAGGCCTGGCCAAAGCATTAAGAAGAGAGGAAACCCAGCGTTTGGTGATGTCCATGGGTTCCAGACTTAAGGCAGTGATTGCTCCAAAGATTCGCAACAAAATATTGAGAAAAAACTTTTTTGTTTGGGTTATGTTTATATGTCCAATTACTTTTGAGCTCCTAAAAATGTGAGTGTTGTGTAAACAAATGTGTACAATTCCTACATTTTCTATCTATATTTTTTGTTCAAACCTTTAAATTAAACGTTACAATCTGCACTTGAATTCTGTTGTAGAGGTTTCATTTCAAATCCAATGCGGTGGCATGCAGAGCCCAACTCAGAAAAATTAGGTTACTGTCCAAATATTTCTGGCCCTAACTGTATGCACTTCGGTGAATCTCAGCTCAAACTCAACAGTTCTTCAAAAGCCTCAGATTTGTTGGAGACATTAGTGAACAAACGGCATCCTGAAAACCAAGGAATAAAGCAGAAAGGTCACAGAAAACATTGCAGAGGAGGTTAAAGCTGAGAGAGGTTATAAAACAATACCTCAAGCTTTGAACCTCTCACTAAGATGTTCAATCCATCATCTAAAAATAGATATAAGAACTGCAAACCTTTCAAGACATGATCGTAATCAGACAAGGAGAATAGAGATTAGAGGTCAACTAATAGCTGTGCACTTCACAAACCTGGCTTTGAAGGAAGAGTGACAAAAACAAAGACACTCCTTTGAGCTTCACAGCAGGTGTCTCAGCAGTGACTCCTGTCATGCTAAACTGGAAGCAACACTGATGGTGCTGCACTCTGTTCCTCCGTAGCAAAGTACAAAGCAAGAGGTAGAGTTTCACAATAAAAAGCATTATTGTTATGTTTGATTTGCAGATCTTACATTTCCTTTGTGCTAAAACCAACAAAAAAGAAGCAGATAAAGAAATATGTGACCCTTTAGAAAGCAAGTGAAGGAGTTTGGTTTCCTGCTTTTGACTCAGCGTGGAGCAGTCTGATAGATATCTTGTACCTATTGGCCACGCAAGGTTCTGTCGCTGTGTAACTGCAGTCAAAGTTCAACAAATATCGACTTTAACCTGAGCGCAACACAAGCCATACCGAGCTACTTGCACTTCAATGCTGAGGGAGGAGATACAGTTCAATGGCATTTGCTCAGCGCAGGAAAAAAAAGAGAAAAACAAAACATTGCCGCGTGGAGCATGAAGCACAAATGAATGGATTTCAGAGGTTGGTGGAGTTGATGCTGCATTTGGTGTGCAAGTCCCTAAAGAAATTCACGTTGCAACGAGCCATGAAGGGAGCACAGCACACATGTGAAAGCATGTGATTTGGCCAGTTAAAGACAGAAAACGTTTTAGTAAAAAAGTCCAACAGACCCTAAAACTGGACATGTTTGATTTAATCCCTACATGGTGGTAGGATCATCATGCTTGAAGTCCCATACTATAACACAGCAGAAAGAGATTTTCTGGTTGGAATAGCTCGCAGCAATGCTCAGAGACGTGAGCCTGATCTCTTTATTTTTAGTAATAGTCGAGTGTTGTCTACTCAACAGAGAGATGCTTCCACTATCCTAACAGCAACATAAAACTTGTTCAGGGCAGAATGTTATTTATAACTATAATTGCAGCAGAAAATGGCTCAACAAAGTAAAACCATGGATTGTTTTCCTTGTACTGCATATCTATGCACCACTTTTTGTCGGTTCGTCACATGAAATCAAGTTTTTGGATGAAACTTGAAAAATATGGAAGAGCTGAACTGGTATGAATACTTCTATAAGGCACTTTGGGTTCATTGTCACCTTGACTTGTTTCCTTTCTGCTGGTTGTAGTTTGGGGCGTTTCTTTGCTCCTGCCAGTGGGATGGGAGTGCATACGCTGATGTTAGCAGTGCTCTTGCATTACAAAAAGCAGCAGGCAATCAGAGGAATCAAGGCTGCTTCACACTTTAAAACAAACACAAGTCTCTTTAAATTAAAACGTGTAAGTTGTAGATTTATTTATTTATTAATTATATATTTATTTTTTATCTCTTCAGCTCACAGAGGTCAATGTGTCCCCACTTTAAGGGATTGAAACCTGTTCTTTTGTTTCCCTTTCATCCTCGTTTGTGCCGTTTTGTTCTTCCATCAGGACCGTGATCAGGATACTGGACATCTTTTTTATATATATATATATGTATATATATCAGTCCATTGATCAGCTCTTTATATTAAAATGGATATCATCATTCGTCATAATCGCCTCCTTCCTCTCCTCTGTTTTCACTCCGATTTCTTTGGGTCAGAGTTAACCCACCTTTTTTGCTATTTGCACAAAAACTGGTCCACGAGAGTTGTGCAGCGCCTGCACTTAACGTAGCAGCACCAGTGGAACTTGCAGTGGCAGCGCTCGTGCTTGTACGTCTTGAACTGGTCATAGCCTCTGCCGCAGCACATCAGCTCGCAGCCGTCCATACCCTCTGAGGTTTTGTTGCAGTAGCGGCCATGCGTTCCCAGCGAGCCTGTGGTTTCGTTCTGGAGACAGTAGTCGGGGCTTGGGTCAATGTAGACCATGTCCTCAGGTGTCGGGTTGTTGAAGCGCTTGTCTTTCAGCTCCAGCTTTCCCTGGTAGAGCAAAGGAAATGAGGGAAGAAGTTTGAGTGATACATCTGGACAGTGGACCACCAGATCAGTGGTCTGGGCTTTAAATAAACGTCCTATTGTGGCTTCAATGAACCAAGAGTCATTTTCAGATTTGGGAGGAGAATTAAATTTAACATTTCAAACACATATAGACCCAGTTTCTCAGCTCAGCTTATCAGAAGTCAACTTCCTCAAAGTCTCAGACATCTAGTCATTAAAAAGGAAAAACCATGGGAATGTCAAGTGTATCTATTTAGCACAGATCACCAACAAAGCATTCAAGTAAATGTTTGTGGTCACTACATATCAAATGAATACCTTGCGTCCAATCTGCATGGCCGCAGCACTGTCGTATTTCTCTTTCAGAAATTCTCCGACTCGCCTGAAGTCAGCCAGCTGAAGCCAACACGTTTTCAGACTGCAGGACCCGGAGACTCCGTGACACTTGCAGGCGACATAGGCTTGTTTGTAGACGGCCTGGTGAAAGACAGACACTCATATATATCTGTAAATAAATTGTCCAATGAGAAAACAACCAGCATGACGGCAAAGTACAGAAGTCTGAATTCTTAGTTTTAATACTACTCTGCTACCATCTAGTGGTGGAAATATGTAATTACAGACTTTCAGTTACATATTTCCACTGAAAGTCTGTAGAAAAACATTCAAATTTAAAGCCTGTACTGTAAATTTGACTGTTTCAGTCAAATTTACAGTATGAGGTCTTTTTTAAAATAACACAATGAATGGAAATGACTAATAAGCTGTATATATAAATATATTTACATTTATTCTCAATTTGAAAATACTTGGTGGAGATCCTTGCTAAACATTACAAAATGCTATGTTGCCACCACACACTTTTGGGTATTTTATGGGAAATTTGCCTGATAGAAACCATAAATTAATGAATCGTTGTGGAAAGGAATGAAAAAGACTATTGACAAACGCTTAATAGAATATTATTTGTGCAAACAACCATTTTTGCTCAATAGAACCACCTTTTCCTGCAATTGCAAGTCTTTGGGACCCGTGTGTTGTGTTTTTGGTCTTCATGATCTTCTTTATGTAATAACATTTTAAAAAATCCTTCACAGAGTAAATTACAAGTGGGGTACCAGTAGATGACTTCAAAAAGCAGTTGATTGCACAGTTTTTTATTTTGGTGTATCGATGAAAATGGGTACACCATTTCCCCCTGATACTCTTAAATACTAGTGTTATCAAAGTTGCATTCTTCTTAAAAAAAGATTGTAAAAAAATGAACATATTTGCTTGACTTCCTTCACCCTTAGCTAACTTTAAAACCACAAGTCAAACATTAGAAACATTTGATGATCTTTCACTTTTTTTTTCTTAGAAAGCCTGTAATTTGTAGGATGTTGCTGCGTTCTGAACATATGGGTTTGTTTAAAACAAACACAGAACAGGAAATAGAAGATTTATGGTCTCTGCAGCAGTAAACCTTGCAGCTTTACCAGGTCACCTAAACAACATTTAATAAACAAGCCACATTAAAACACCCCAATCCTAAACACCTACATAAATTACGCACGCTCTTATTGAGCGTTGCAAAGAGTTTAGTGTGCACCAGACAAGCTACCACAGATTTACTCACTGAATCATTTACCTCCGATTCCTAATTTCCCCTGACGCTAATGAAACCCATCATTCTCTCTCCTCACGTTGCCTGATCTCAATTACCTTCTCACCTCTGTTAACCTCTGCATCCCAAACACCCCTGACCCCTGCGTCCCTCCTCCTACCCCCTGCTTTCAGACCTCTTCTTTACTACCCAGCAGGCATAGCACTCGGCACCCTGCAATCCTGCGATCCGACCCCCGTGACCTCCTCAGACAGCCACGGAAAACAGAGGACAATGGTATTTGTTATTAAGGCTACACACGCTTGGTGGTTTAGCTTGAGATATTATAACTACAACACTTATTTCTCCCGTGAAAAAAAAAACTTTTACCACAAAATAGTAGCAGCCAGGAATCCTATTCTGTCCAGTCAAAGCATGCATTTGATTCTCCAGAGCCATGGTGAGGAATTTGGTGGGTCATGCCTGCTGGGCACAGTGACTCTGGACCTTCATGGTCAGTCATCCATGGTGGAGACATGCTCTCTGTGTCAAGCACAATAGGTTTTACTCAGTCAGGGTTAGAGTGAGTGAGTGTGTGTATGGGTGTACTTGCCCGTGTCTGAAACACACAAGGACAGAAATGGAGAACACAGGCTGCCTTTTATGTCAGGCTAAACCATGAATGAAGTGAGAAGTTAAGAAAAAAAGTCAACACACGTCTATGCTTCACTGGCATTGTTGGTGTTACTGTATTTTAAAAGACGGTCTTTGTTTTGACCTAACTGTAGGAAAACTAGATGATTAGATTGTAGTTTTCTTTGGCAAGTTCACAGCCTTGCTAATAGACTTAATTCTAGCTTCTTATAGCTGCACCTCCTCAAGAAAAGCATTTCCACAGCATCTGTCATCACCTTGTGTCGCTGTGAATTTGGTATGTTTATGGTCATGTGCATTGTTAGTTTTCCTCCGGATATGTTTTCAGGGCACTGCAATTGTCATACGCCTCATCTTGTTTATGAAGAAACACCTGAAGCAGATCTGACTGCATATTGGTATGCATACGATAGGCTCTGCAAGAGACCATTTGCTTACGTGTGAATCTGCCACATGCAAGGTTTTCAACAGAATTTACATAATGAACCACCAAACTGAGGAATATTTTTATGTTAAACAGAAAGCTGCATGAGCATCTAATTTTGGTTAGTGACAATCGGTCAAGTTTGACAAAGATTCCTCCCTTGATGTGCGCCTCTGCCTCCAGACGTCAGCACACACAGACCACACTACTCGCTGTTCTCGCACTCTCTCTCTCTCACACACGCACACACACACACACACACACACACACACACACACACACACACACACACACACACACACACAGAGTGGCAGGCCTCTACATCCTCTACAAAGACTCTGTGGTTTGCCTTGTTCAGCCAAGCAAGACAAATCCCACTTAGGACAAACCAGCGTGTCCTCAGAAGAAAGACAGAAAGGAGGGAAGAGGAGGAAAGAACCTGTCTTCCTCCCCACTTTTTCATCTACCTCTTCTCCTCTCTTCCGTTTTGATGGACAGACGACAATGAAAGCGAAAGATCAAACAGGAGAAGAAAGGAAAAGTTATTTCAAAAGAGTATGCGTATGTGGAAGCATGTGTTAATACAAAGCTGCGGCAGTATATCTTCCTCCTCATACTTTCTTCTATAGCCCCAACGGGACCGTCGGCAGAAACACAAGCTCTCCAGACCCTCACCTTTAACCTCTGACACACACAAACCTGGGCTCACTGTCTCTCACACAAATCAAACAGGGCATTTGTGCATACACACATGCATGTCTCTGTCCTGTAAATAGCTTAAACGGTCTGCCCCCAAACAGGCAAGGCAGACGGTTTACGACTAAAAGTGCAGATTTAAAATTATGTGACATCTTGCAAACGTGCCATGAAATGGATCCACCAAATTTCATGTTCCAAATAATAATAATAATGTTGATGTCCAATGTGTTGCATCTGTCCGTGTTTATCTGTGAATGTGTGTCTGTGCGTTAAAGCGCAGGAATGTGCCTTGACCTGGGCGACCTAGCTAAACTCCAAGGGCGTTAGCAGTTGTACCATTTGCAGGTTCCCAATAAATAACCGACACACACACACACACACACTCAGTGTGGGAAGGCCACATCAACTTTGACACACATTCCTAACAGACGTACAGATATAGTATGCGGGTAAAAAGAGGAAAAACACATTTTCCCCACCAAAGTTCCCACAGCAGAAGAAAAAGTGGCGGTGTGTGTTGGTCCGTCATACCTGTCTCCCCGCTTCGTTGTTGTGCAGGTTCATGAGAATTCGAGCAGACTCTCTCGACCCGCGCGGGTAATTCTTCTCCCGCTCCTTGGCATCGACAAATTCCCGGGCGAATCTGTAGCCGTAATGTACGTTGTCGCCGCAGCCTCCCCACAGCCAGTCGCGCGGCAAATCGCGGGGCCGGGCGGCGCGGCTGCAGCCGCATGTGGACAACTCGCCGTCGCGGCACGCCCGACTGATGGCGTTGACGACACCGGCCGCGCTGATGGCGTACGTGAATGCAGTCTCCCTTGAGCCTGGTGAAGTGAAAAACCAGGAGATGTTTTTTTTAGATTTCAAAAATGATGCAAGGTGCAATTCTCTGTCGCATTTATCAAGGCTCAGTCTTTAATACATTACATATCACCATCATAGACTTCCAGTGTATCTTATTCCCACTTCAACATATTGCAAGAAACTTTTTTAACTGGTTTGAATAATAATTGAGATTACTGGGTTGTTTTGTAACTAGGATCAATTAGGAATGTATGCAACTCATTTCATTCTCTGTGGATGAACAGAATTTATTATTATTTGGTGAAATGTCTTCTGCAGATGATATCTGTTGTTAATTTGAAGTGTGTGGCTTGCTTTTGTATCTACACCTTTTTATCTGATACACCAATTAGTTTTAGATATTACGAAATAAGAATATGAAGAAAAATAATTAACCCCTCAGCATAATGCTGCAACTATCAGATGGGATTTTATTTACTTTTTCAAAGTAAAGAGGGATAAAAACATCACTTTTCATTTAGTTATTTAAAAATGTATATATATATTAAAAACTGTTGTTTTTCAAACATTTCTGCAACAACAAAAAAACGTATTTCTTCTGAAGTTTCTAAATGTAGTTCAGACACCTAATTAATAAATAAAATAATTTGCATGTGGTTAACTTTCAGTATAAATAAAGCTATTTGGTGAAGTTTGATAGACAGTATTAGTGAACAACTGATGTTAGCGTAACCTGGAAAAGAAATACATTTGCGACTCTTGTTTTAATATAAGTTTATTTCTGCTATTGGTCTAAAGATTAGCCTCTAAATGCCTAATCAGTGACTGGGCATATAAACAGGACAATAGCTTTAGTTTAATACATTTGAAAAAAATATTTAGGTACAGTTATAGATCTTTATTTATGTGTGTTAGATTATTTTTTTACTTGGATTTTGAATATAACCTTTCACAATCTATTAACTGATTAAGCGGCAGAAAAAAAGATTCTTTTAAAATGATAAAATTCTGAAAAGAGTCAGGTGAATTTGTACTCAGCCATCTTGAGGTAATACTTGATGCATGTCTAGACTTTATACATCATTTCCCTATTTTGGTTTGTAAGCCACAAATAATTCACCATTGTCACCCGTGTCCATGTTATTGAATTCAGTTTGCTCAGAGTAACACCATGTTCAAAAAAGACAACACAATAAAACCATCAAGTCTCCATCTGCATTAATACACAACCACTTAAAAAGCAAACAGAGCGGATGGGATCAATAGGCTGACAAGTAGGAAGTTAATAAACCTGAATGTCAATCATTTCCATAACAATAACAAACAGCATCCTGACTTGAGGCCACATAAGAGTTTCCAGTTTTGTAACTTGAATGTCTATTCTGGAGATAAAATCATGCTCTTAATTTTAGTAAATACAAACAACTTGTAAAGAACTAACCATATCCTCATTTAAGCTTTGTGGAGCTGCACCCTGTGCCCTTGTGGCTGTTCAGTGACACAGCAACTCAGCAGTAACTTTAGGTTCTAATTGAGCAGCCCTCCCAGCCATGACTCCCCGGGTGTAGAGCCATTACACTTTATATCAAAAAAGAGATACAAATATAAAATATGAATCTTTCTGGTGGCGGATTTTCTGTTGGAGTATTTAGTATTGTCTAATAAGCAGCCAGATACTTTTATGGGCCACAGAGAGGACTGGAATCAACACAGCCAGACAGACAGACAGAAAGGTATGCATGAAAAGAAGAACACAAGGCGTGTGAGCCTTTTTTATTATTCGGTGCGCTTTTAAAGAAACAGTCCCCCCGTCAGCTTTATGGGACTGTGGAGACTCGACTTCAAATAGCAGGTCCGGATCTGCCGGCTTGATGTTATTTCGCCCTTCTGCGCATTTCAAAAGAAGAGCCACGGGACAATGAGGCTGCCTCACACCTCCGTATAAACCTGGAGGACAGAGCGCGCCGTCAACGCGGACGGGCAGAGAGAAGGGCAGCAAACGCCTCAGCTCTCGGACGGACTGACCGCCTGCAGCGGATTTGACACTTACTTGTTGATGAGACGTTTCCCACGTCGCCTGAAGGGGATTGAAACGAGCTGGACACGGAGCGAAGCTAACAACAGAAACTCATAACATGTTTTGAAGCTACTTGGGTTTTTTTGTTGTTGTTTTTTTCACCCTCGAGCGTCTTTACGCGTGACTTCTGTCTATGGTGCGTCGCGTTTTGCGTTGAACTGAGAACCCCCTTTACTGCGCCTGCGCACAAGCTGTTAACTCGGTGCTTTTGGTCCAAATTTTAATTTGTCATAAATAAGAGTCGGTTGAACATAATACGATTGGTAATTGGGAAACAATTGGAAGTTAACATCTTAAAATTGTTGAATTTCTGGATATTTTTATTGTTGTATTGATAGGATGCAGGAGGGGATTCTTTTGGCCAGCTTGTAAAGCATTATGGGATAAATTCTGACATTTTTCAAAGAAATTTGGTCTAAAAGTCTTCATCTTCATCCTTCCAAAATACACGTGTCTCTTCAAGACAAAGTGGCGGTTTTTATAAAGCACATGTATGCTTCACCATACCTTTAGTTATACATATGAACTTTATGTACAGCTATATCAATTTTCTTGGTATTAATGCCAGATAAATACTGTTGACTAATTCAGGCAAACATGTAGCTAATCCAAAACCATTAACCCTAACCCAAATACAAGCTGTAAACTTGGTGGATTTGTTTTTATTTCCCTGATGAGCAAAATTCTGCATTTGAACAAAACAAAGAAATGTATCCAAGTGTTATGATCTAGTAAAAGTTGCAGTTGAAAAGCAAATCACGTTGACTCTGTAATCAGGTTAAGAAGCTGCAGTTTTCCCTTATGTTCCTTGATATACATTTTATATTGCATTGAAAGACTAAAGCCTGACCGGCAGTGTGCAGCAGCGAGTGGGGGAGGGGCAGCTCACCTCTGCTCAACACAGATGGGAAACTACAGACTTAAGGACTAAACTGTGGTGAAATGTTTATGCTTTTGAATCCTTATAAAACTCTGGTGTACCCTCACAAAGGTAGCCAGCTCATGTCTATTAAAAAGAATAAGTTTTCTAAACAACAATCCCATGATGCTCTTGGGTTTTTACCCTATAGATTGAAAAAAAAAAAAAAAAACCAGAAAATGACAGTACCACTTTCTTGAAGGAACCTCAACCCTGCTGTTGCCTTGAATTTTAACCAACACATCCAGCATGAAAAACTCACCAATGTGCATGACCCGTCCAAACACGGACGTGCTGTCCACAGTGCTGCAGTTCCACCTCCTCTGTTTGAACTGGTACTGGCACTCCTTGATGCCCGTTCTCGCTCCGTCTCCGATGTAGCTCATGTGGTCTTGGTACAGCTGGCACAGCTTCCTCTGACTCTGCGGGGCCACATAGGAACAGCAGCCGAGATTAGCAGAGATTAGCTGAGTAATGGCTCTACACTTCTGAGAGGTCCCCACGGGGGGGGGATTCCCATGCACGGTGTGAGGAAACTCACCTGTGAAAGGCCAGAAAGCTGACTGCAGAGAGGCTGAGCACCAATGATGTACATCTCGGGCCGCTGGATCGGGGTCAGACCTAGAGACCTGAAAAGATGCGCGGCATTTGAAGTTGAAATCTGATTAAAAGTGGGAATACAACTGAGACTCTGGAATGCTGGCAGAGCACAAGTCAGGCGCAAGTTTTACTGGGACAAGTGGGCTATAAAACACAGATAAATAGACTCCTGTGGAGAACATCTCTACGGCCACTATCTTTATTACTCCTTGGATTCCTTCCCTTTGACCTTCCTCCCCCCCAAAAAACTCCTTACTCTTCAGCTCAGTACATGAAACAAACCATTTACTGCTGATTCTACAGCTCATGTCATGCGAGGGTCTGCAACATCATTTCAACATCATGTTCATCTAATACTATAGCAGTTTCTAAAACAAGTGTGGATAAAGCACCCTGGAGGTACAAGGCTCTGCCATTTGGGAGGCCAGCCAGGGTAAATATTGTGACAGAGCCTTCACGTTTGTCCCATTCAAACCCAGCACCCAAAGTCACAAAGCAGAAAACAAAAAATAAAAACAGCTGCATGAATGCATCTTAAAATAAGAAAACAACAAAACATACACACAATAAAAGGAGGAAAACCGATGCGGAGCATGGAGGAAATACATCCCCAAATTACGCGTCGAACGACGCTCCAAATTACAAATCACACTTGAACCGCACCGGCATCGTTCAAAACGACATCTGCAGTTATCAGTCACTCACCACCACGAAGTCGCCTCCGCCATCAGAAGCTGGGAACTGCAGGCGAGGACGACGCACGACAGCTGGAGCAGATGCCGGACGGCTCCGGTCCGTCTCCTCGAGACGGGCCCGTTGTCCATGATCGTCCGCCGCGGCGCCACTGAGCAGCCGGTGCGGGGCAAAGTGCTCTGCTGTGGAGACATGCGTGAGAAGTTGTCACCACGCGTCCTGCTCCGGCTAATTAATGGAGACGGTGCGAGTTCGGGTCCGGCTCACGAGTTCTCTTTGAGTGTGCCAAATGTTCCTATTCTTATCAGACTCTTCCTGCGCAGCATACAATAACCCAGAAAAAAAATATATATACATACATAAGTTAAAAGTTTATCCCAAGGTGTCAAACAGTTGATCATCTGAAATCAATCAGAGGGGGGAAAAAAATCCACTTTCGTTACATTAGTTAGATAAAAACGTTGTGCGTAAAACAGTTTATTAGTCCAGTTTAAGCCTTCTCCTATCAGCAGACAAATGAAACAAGCCAATGTGTGACATGCAGAATCCAGCTGTTTGGTTTGGGCAGTAAAATAAAAACACACACATGAACAAGAATATTAAAATCTGGAAATAAAAAAAAGTGAGGAGACTGCTGCCTGTCCTTCCCGTCCCCCTGCAGCTGCTAATACTACCATCTCTCCCATTCCTTGTTTAAGTTTACACCCCTCCTCTTTTTCGCACCCAGACTTCAGTCCAGAGCCGCCTCCCCCCTCCTGTCACCACGTGAGAGGAGATCAGATGAACAACTGGAAACCACACACACACATCAGGGATCTGACACATCCTTCTGCAAATGTCTGTGTATTCTGTTTGTTCTCCATATCACCGAAAACCTGGGAGAAATTTTTTATTTGATAGATCAACACAAAAAAAGTGGATATAGAAAATGGTTTCCAAATAACTTTGCAAATACAGACGTGAAAAGTGTGACATGCATTTATCACTCCCTTTTTTTGATACATCTCAATAAAATACCATGTGGGGTTGGATTTACATCTATTAGCTAATTAGGTGCCTTCTGAGGGTCATTTGTTGAATATTTTTAGGGGTAACATTGTATTTTCATTTATAAAATATTTTGCAGGAATGTCCACTTATGGATCATGCTTCAATCGGCTTTTACAAATAGTACTGCATGGTTGTGACTTTGAAAGAAACCACATAAGTTGAGAGTTGTTTTTTTTTTATTCATTACAAATAATTATAATAATAATACAAAAAGAGTCGTATATTTAATCGGCAACTCCAGTCCTTGAGTAATTCTGTACAGCAAATTTTGGATATATACCTGTTAGAACACACCTGAACCAAAAGGTTGAATTACTTCCTTTGTGAAGGCCTAGCAATTAACCGTTCACGTGATTCAGATGTGTTGGAGCAGAGAATGATCTAAACGCTGCAGAATAGAAGCACTTTAAGACTAGACGCTTTAATCTGATGTTCCCTAGGCAACACGGCAGTGGCAGTGTCATGCTAAGGATGTATTATTTTCCTCCCACTTTCTTGCAACACCTGCATTGGTTTGTTGGGTAAAATCAAGATAAAGTATTCTGGTTTATGGCTGTAACGTCACAAAATGTGAGGTGTGGATACTTTATTGAGGTCCTGGAGACAACAGACTGTGGCCTGAGGTGATTGAAGTGTGACAATCCAGTTGTTGATTCCTTCTCTCCATCCATCCATCCATACATGTGAATGGGGGCTGAACTTTTTTTCTTTGCTGAACTCCAGCCAGTCTTTTCTAAAAGTTCATGTGGGTCAGATTCCTTTTACTAGCTGAAGTGAATGATTTGTTTGAGTAAAAAGGTGAGTGCATCAAAAGTCTCCTAATCCTTCCCCCTCTTTGGAGTTTAAAAATAAAACACACACACACACACACACACACACACACACACACACACACACACACACACACACACACACACACACACACACACACGCAGATGTTACCCTACACATTTACAGACAGACGGTCAGGAGAAAAAGAAAAGGCGTGTTGAAGCGAGCGCTCCTCAATTCATAACCGGGTCTATAAGACAAACTGCAGGCGGGTCGGTGGGTGGTGAACCTGCAGAGCAGCTCTTTGATCCGACTCAGTGCCTCTCTATAAAGACCGCATCCACTCGGCCAAAGGAGGACTTGAATGGGAGGCCCCTGAAGTCTTGAGAAACCGATCAAAACATCCATAAAGCGCTGTTAGATAATGAGCTCCTCTCTGCTGTTTTGCTCGAAAAGTAGGAAAAGAACAGCTTCACAAATACTGATTAATAAGTTAGATCCTTGTTTATTTAGCAGTATCATACTGCCAAATAGTATGTGCGCTACACTGAGATAACAGTACAGAAGGTAAAAAGGTATCACTCTATTTTGAGTGTTTAAACCTGTTTCAGAGTAAATACATCCACAGTAATGTATGATATGAGATTAAGAAATTATGTTCTTGTAGTTTTCTCCTCTCAAATGTGGGAAGCAAATGAGACCAATAATATGATGACAGCGCCCCCTTCTGGGAAAAGATCAATATTAACTTTTAGTTATCACCAAACATGATCAGTAATGACTCAGAAAAATGTGTTAGTGATGTTAACTACACATATAAAGAAACCTTTAGACATATATTTTTTTCCTATTTCCATGCAGTCTTTTTTTATTTTGACAGATTTTTATTTTATTATTCAGATGTTTGATCTGCTGGTTGGTTTTGGTTTTTACTCAACTGCACTCCGAGTTGCCCGACATATTATACCACTATTCCCAGTTTCTTTTTTTTAACATTTTAAAAACAGAGACAATAATTCAAAATCTAACATTAAACTGCTGTTCTTACAGGTTAAAAGTATTTTGTCATATAACTTCAAACTACAAGGTATTTTACTGCACATATACAAACACAGAGACATGAACTTATGTTGAAGTGGAAGGAAGATTATGCAGCTAACAATATAGCATCTTGCTCCCCCCCAGAAAAATTCATTTTTTTATATTTCACTAATAATTAAAAATGTGCCTTTGGTTTTAATCTCCTTTAATCTGATGCCCTAATAAAGTACGGTAACACTTTGTCTGAACGCATGTTATGAAAATGAAGGAGTCTTCTTGAATTTTTAAGACTGTTGTCATTTGGTAAATAACACTTTTAATGCAAAGTTGCATAAAAAGTCCATTGAAAGTGTCCCAGTAAAACATATTCACGTTTTTTATTGTGACATGACGACAATGGTAAATATTTAAAGTGTACAACTGCTATATACGATGATTGGCTCTTAATACTCTCCCTTCAAAGTTCAAAACGACAGACAAATAAAAAGCATAACTATAGACCAAAACAATTTAAAGATTACAAGAAAGTTTGTCTGTTTGGAAGGAAAATGCAAAGAATTAAAAGTGGTTATAAAATGTTGCCTTTTAATATTTTCTAAATTTAATATATGTCAATGGCCAGCCCTGCATTATACCAGGAAAACAAAAGTCTGTATCAGTAGAGGGACAGGAATTAGATAACAAATCATTCAGTGGCAGCCATTGGATTAAATAAACTAATATTACAGTGCCAGCTACTGCTATACAGATGTATAAAATTTACTTTAATAAAGATATCAGAGCCTATTTTCAGTTGTGTTCATGTTCATCTCCTTGATGCTCACGATTCATATCAGCTTTTGAGACACTACAAAGTGAACTTGATCCACGTCTCATTTTGGATCTGCAGAAAAAAAAAATCTTTGGAAATATAAGAATAAAGGACCAGCATATAACTCGAATCCTGCATGCAATGGTTCTATTACGACACTAGGAGGAGCAGTTGGGCCGCAGACATCACTTCAGCAAAAATAAATAAATAAATGGGGGTAAAGCGAGGGAGGGGTGAGGGTACAAAGGCACAACTTGGACAAAGTAAGAGGAAGAAAGAAATGGGAGGGGGAAAGAGCAGACGGTGAAAGAGGGAGGGAGTGTCCATGCAAAGGATCCAGAGCGGCAGAAAGGGGTGGAAGGCGCAGGGAGGGCGGCACTTCCCTGGGGGATATGAGCAATAGGCGTGCAACAGGGAGCAATGCCTGAGAAAGTCGGCAACTCCTCTCTGGATTAACACCAGCCTCACTTTTTATTGCCTCCAGTGCCAGACTGGAGGAGCAGCAGCAGCAGCAGCCAGCTCCCCTCCTGCAGGGAAAGCAGCTGCAGTCGGCTGATGGAGGCTGAACTGGTGCCCCGAGGAAGCCGCTGGTGCCAGAAAGCAAAGTATTAATTCTGGGAAATGAATGTCACTTTTAAATTGATTGCTCATTAGTTAAAGGGAGAGAGTTTAGGCGGAGGAGAAAGCTGAGGATGCACAGAGCAAACTTCGTTTTTTTGAGCACCTTCATCTCCGCTGAGACATCTAGACAGGTTATTTTTTTTAATGGCAAATGTTAATATTTTTTTCAGTAATATGAACAGTTTAAGATAAATGTATCTGTTTTACATCTCCTAAGGATCTAAAGCACTGGGAAACATTACTGAAACTGTGCCAGACTGATAATATTAATAATGCAGCTCTGTCGCAAAAGTAAAAGTTGTGAAAGTGAAAATGCCAATTTAAAAATACAAACAAAAACTAATACAACATTTCTGTGAGTGAAACACAAAATACAATAAAGTTTTGATCTATGTTTCTCAGGGCCAGCATTGAATGAGTCTCAGCATTGAATCTCAGTCAATGCTGAGACTCCATTGCTCAGTCTCCAGCAGCAAATTGCAAACACAGAATAATTCAGAATTTTGCTTCCTCTCAAGCATTTTTACTCCATCTGTATTTTCATCAGTGCTGCTTTTAGAAAGCACCTGATTGACCTGTCTGCCTGCGTTCTGACTCCACGCTATGTTCACAAAAACAATGAGAATTTGGATTCAAACAGCAGGAACAGAAAAAAAGATGGTTAGAGGTTGTTGGAAAATGGATGCAGGGTTGAACTAAAACAAAAGCTCTTCAGGGTTGCTTTTTCGTTTCCGGCCTGTGTTCAGTTCCTGTTCTGCCAGTCATTCTTTTTAAATTGCTTGGTTTCTAATTGCACTCTCAGCTGCTTCCACTGTTACATGTCACCGGTGGCCTTTATTCATTAGTAGCTGAACAGAAAGAAGAGTGGAGAGTAAAAGAGAAGACATG